CCACTTAAACCTCTTATGCTTTGCTCAGCTCATATCCGCCGTAACTGTTTGACAAATTTTCCCTGTTCGGTGATCAATGTCATTTATGTACTTTCCCAGTAGAATTTTATATAGCTCAAGCCTCTCATGGGTGAGAAAAAGAATAAGGCTCTGGGTATTCTTTTCCTGTGCACCAAAATAGTTTCCACGATAGTCATCTCTATGTGTTCTTTGTTTCTTTTTTAGGATCCTGAGTATTATTTTCCCAGCTTTTTGCTTTTTGGGATGCCATATGGGTTCTATGTGGAATCTTCTTTGTTCTTATGATACATGGCAAATATTTACTTTTTTTTTTTAGCAGCTGATCTAGGTTCTCAAAGAGAGCCCCCATCTTGGCTGGGAAATATCCTGAGAAGCTTCTAGGCCGGACAGAGAAGAATCCCATGGATGTTGGGAAGCAGGTGTGAGCTGGGGGAGGTACCCAACGAACATTAAAGGCATATAGGGAGGATGCTGAGGTGGTGGGGAGAGGGTCTCGGAAACCCAACTGTGTGTGGGCCTGAGGCCTGGCTGTGGGCTATGTATAAAGCCTCCCTCCTACGTCCCCTGCAAAATCTGGGACAAAGCCGATGTCGGCGCTGGTAGTTGTGTGCAGATGATGTTCTGGGGGGACAAACAGGACTTCAAGACCATAGTGGACATTTTGGCTCCAGCTTCCCTCCATGAACTGTCCAGACCTCTCTGAGTTGACCCTATTCCTTTTTCCTACCTTGGCAACCTGAACAACTGCTTCATGCAGTTCCTTTTTTTCCTCTTCTCACCCCCTTAAGAGTCATCCCCTTTATTCTCATGAGCTGCAAGCTGCATCCTTCCCTTCCCTCTTTCCATGTTGGACACTCTTCTAGTCATGGTAAACTGTGAAGCCCAGAGGTGGGCTCTGCAGCTGGCTACGTACCTTGCCAACCACAGTCCCTTCTGGTTCCGTGCCCGACACCTGTCCTGCCAGTGCCGTCCTCCAGCCCCCACCTGCCGTGCTCCCACCTGGGAGCCAGCTCTGTGGGACTCGTACTTGCACTTATTTCTTCCACAGAGCCTCCAGATGTTTCCCCCACAGCATGCTCCCCCGTCTCTCCAGGGCCCAGGGAAAGGCAGGACACACTCATCTTTCCCATGCAACAGCCTGTCCTTTTCCCCCTCATTCCCATCACTTTTCGTTTGAGTTCAGTGAATTCTAGGAACTGCTCCTCACCTCCTTCCATGTGCCTGCCCTCTGTCATTGACCCTCCAGGCTCCTCTTTTCCCTCCTCCTCTCCTGCAGTGACCTCTCACCCATTCTAGAAAGGCCACTTCTCCCTGGTGACTCTCTTCCTCTTTCCTCCCTCCTCAAGGTCCTTATTAAGGTCAGTTTGGAGTGTTCTTGATGGTTTCTCTCTCTCTCCAGCTTCTGTTTTTATTGTCTGGCTAAATGATAACAATACACACCTCATTTTGCCAAAAGCTGCATCAAATAGATTTTCTTCCCCAAAGCCCTGCTGTGCCCCAAAGCAAGAGGTGTCGAGCGCTTAAACGCACACGTGAGCTTCGCAACCTGGAGGATGGCTATTATACAAAAAAATAAGTATTGGTGAGGATGTGGAGAAAATGGAACCTTTGTGTCTTGTTGGGGGATATGTAAAATGGTATGGCTGCTATGGAAACGTGGTGGTTCCTCAAAAAGTTGAGCATAAAATTGCCATATGATCCACCAATCCCAAGTCTGGGTATATACCCAAGAGAACTGAAATTGGGGACTCCAAACACTCGCACACCCATGTTCATAGCAAGACTGTTCACAAGAGCCCAAAGGCGGAAGCAGCCCAAGATGATGAACACTATCACCATGTGAATGGGTAGGTAAGAGGTGGTACATTTGATGGAATATTCTTCAACCATAAAAAGGAAGGGAGTGCTGACATACGCTACGGTGTGGACAAATCTTAGGGAAGATGTGCACCAAGTGAACTAAGTCACATGCGAAAGGACAAACACTGCACGATTCCTCTTGTTGGAATGAGGTTCCCAGAATAGTCACATGCATAGCAACAGAAAGTAGACTAGAGGTTGCCAGGGAGCTGGGGGAGCTAGGAATGGGGGGGTTGTATGTCTGTTGGCGATCAGGACAAGTTCCAGAGATGGGTGGTGGGGACGATGACTGCACAATACTGTGAATGAACCTCATGCTACTGTACGCTTAAAAATGGTTACAATGGCAAACTGCATGTTATGTGTATCTTAGCACATTTTTTTAAAAAAATTAAGAAATGTTCAAGGTTTTGGGAGCAAGGGGGAAAAACCCCACATGTGACTGCACAGCTCCAGCGGGGATGTGATCCCTTGGGGCCACCTCTCTCCTCAGGACCTGGGTCATCTCTTCAAGGACCAAACTCTGCCCACTCTGAACCACACCTGATGTGGCCGCCAGCGGCCTCCTCCCCGGAATCACCACAGAGTCTGAAGATGCCTGCAGGAAGCCCTCTCCTGGGGTCCAGGAGCCTCATTTCCATCACCCGGTCGCTGCAGGAACAGGACGAACTACCCTTCTGAATATCATCTAACAAACTTGACTTTGAGTTGGTTTATGATTTCTCCTTGTTCTTCTAGAGACACTGCATGGGACTTTAGTGACTCCTGAAGAGTCCTTCATTGTGGGACATCTGGTGACTGTCACGGGTGAGGGTGGTGGTGGTTGTCACGGGTGAGGGGTGGTGGTGACTGTCACGGGTGAGGGTGGTGGTGACTGTCGTGGGTGAGGGTGGCGGTGACTGTCACGGGTGAGGGGTGG